GAGCCACTTGAAGACAGGCGGACTTCAACTCCCAGCATTCCCTAGCTAGCCACGCTAGCTGGGGAATTCTGGGAGTTGAAGTCCACCTCTCTTCAAGGGACCCAAGGTTGAGAATCATCTCCCTGTGGTGCCATTTGTTTATTTCAGTGATGCAGTAAGAATATGCGCAGTGCCAAAATCTTGGTTTGTGCAATAATTTGCTACCGCTGATTTAAAAAAAAACCGATGTGAGGTTTTGGTCTTGCTAGATTTCAAGTACTTTGAAGATGCTTCGGACGAATACAGAGATAACATGGGGACGCTGCTGCCACTGTGGAAGTTTCAGTACGACAAAGCCAAGCGGCTGGCCGTCACCGCCCTCTGCTGGTGAGTGCCTTCTCTGCAGGTTAAGGTAGGGGCGCTCTGCGGCCAGGCTTTTTGATCCATGCTGCTTATCTTATTATTGAAAAATGAAAACGACCAATATAAAATGTTTACTGTCAACGTTATATTTGTTTTTTTTTTATTATTATTAAGAGTTTTGTAACATTTACAAAATAAACCCCCTTCCCACCCCCCAAAACCCCCCACCCACCCCCCACTTCCCAGAGCTGTTCACAGGGTTACAAATATATTAATCATAATCTAAATAACATTATCCAACTAATTATGTAACCAAATCTATAACACCCTTTAGCTCCCTTTTAAAATAAATTTAGATAATTTGAAATTAAACACAATAATAAACAAATAATCAACTTAATTATTAAACAAAATTACTACTCCAAATAATAATAATAGCAATATAATAAAATATAATAAAAACTATAAAAAATATAATAAAATATTCACAATAACAATACTGTAAAATTTACTCAAACACCAAATGGAACTTTTCAGTCCCATATTTATTCTGAATGTAATCTATCCATCTTCTCCAAACCGAAATATATCTTTCCTGCGTTTGATCCTTTAAATAAGCAGAAATCTTAGCCATTTCTGCTAAATTTGCCACTTTAAGAGACCATTCTTCTACAGTAGGCAAGCGATCCGTCTTCCAATTTTGAGCTACCATTAGTCTTGCAGCTGTTATGAGATTTAACATCAGATTCATTTCTTTAGCATCCAAATCTCCCATGATACCTAATAGAAATAACTGCGCTGTAAACTTTATCTTTTTCTTAAAGATATTTTGAATATTCCACCAAACCTTGATCCAAAATGCTTTTATTTCCCTACACGTCCACCAAATATGAAAATTAGTTGCATCTAAACTTCCACATCTCCAATATTTGGGCTGTAAATTAGAATACATGCATGACAATTTTTGAGGATCCAAATGCCACCTATAAAACATCTTGTAAAAATTTTCTCTTAAATTTTGGGCTTGAGTAAATTTTACATTTTTAACCCAAATTGTCTCCCATGTATCCAATGAAATCGACTCTTGAATATTTTGAGCCCATTTTATCATAGAGTCTTTAACTAATTCCGTTTCAGAATCCAATTCAATCAAAGCATTATAAATTCTCTTTATATGTGCTCGGGTTGGATCCAATGTTATATTTGTTATAAACATTTTTTCTTTTCTTTTTTTTTCTTGTGTCCCATTTATAGTTTTTTGTTTTGCTATGTCTGTTTACTTTGTATTTTGTATTTTATCTTCAGGGGGAAAAATAAATTAAAAAAGGATAATATTTGTAGGGCAGGGTTGAAATGAAGGGTCCTCGGTGCTCTCTGAGCTTGGTGGTTTCCTTGCAGATGTTTCATGATCCAAGCAGGAAACATCATCAGTGCTAGAAGGGAGGGAGATTTGCGGAGAGGAGGAGGAGGGAGAAGGCACAAAAATGAGGAGGACTATGGGGTCCTTGGTGCTTTCTGAGCTTGGTTGTTTCCTTGCAGACTTTCATTACTCAACATGTCACATCATCAGTGCTAGAAGGGAGAGGGGTTTATGGAGAGGAGGAGGAGGAGGACTGTGGGGTCTTTGATGCGGATAGAATAGAACAGAACAGGACAGGACAGGACAGGACAGGACAGAATAAACAGGGAATGGAATAGAGCAAAACAGAACAGAACAGAACAGAACAGAGAGAAGAGGGAATAGAATAGAATAGAATAGAATAGAATAGAATAGAATAGAATAGAATAGAGTTGGAAGGGACCTTGGAGGTCTTCTAGTCCAGCCCCCTGCTCAAGCAGGAGAACCTATACCGTCTCAGACAGGTGAATGTCCAGTCTCTTCTTTAAAATCTCCAGTGATGGAGCACCCACGATTTCTGGGGATAAGCTGTTCCACTGGTTGATTGTCCTCACTGTCAGGAAGTTTCTCCTTAATTCCAGGTTGCTTCTCTCTTTGATCAGTTTCTAACCATTGTTTCTTGTCCTGCCCTCTGGTGCTCTGGTGAACAACTTGGCCCCCTCTGCCTTGTAGCAGCCCCTCAAATACTGGAACACTGCTATCACGTCTCCCCTATTTCTTCTTTTCTTTAGACTAGCCAAACCCAGGTCCCGCAGCCCTTCTTTGGTTGTTTTCTTGCAGATGTTTTATGAACCAACTAGGTAACATCAGCAGCGCTAGTCCTTATGATGTGACCTAGTTTGGGTTATGAAACATCTGTAAGGAAACAGCCAAGCTCAGAGAGCACACCAAAGGCCCCTAAAAAAAACTTAAAAAGAAAAGAAAAATGAAAGTTGATAAAGAAATTGAGCACATGAGCTGAGAGGATTACTCTGCAAATCATGTGAATAATATGGAAAACACGCAAGCTGTATTTTTCATTTTTAATATTAACATTAATAATATTTTTAATATTGAGACAGGATGTACATTGCTTTTACGACAGTAAAGGGCCATGAATTAATAGCCTAGGTTGGAAAATACCTCTTTTTTTTTGTTTAAGCATTGCCTTCAAATAATTAGCCTAAGGAACTTTAGGATAAGGCGTTCCAAGATAGCAGAAAGGCTAGTAGATTTTATTTATTGCAGTTTTCTTATGCTGGATAGTCTCAAGCTCACAAAATCTTTCATGATGAATTAATTATAATTCTAAATCACTAAACACAGTTAGGAAGTTCTGATGTTGAAATATAATAATTTACTAATTATTAAAAAGGTATTTCAATACTTGGAAACTGGCACTGCCTCCAGTCTCCAGCTCTACAAAGATGCATTTATGTCCATAACAATCGCGTGGAACAAAATGTGTCTATAACACACTAAAAAATATTGTCAGAATAGTGGAACGCTGACAGTTTACATCTCTTTTTCTTATAGGAACCCCAAATACAAAGACTCGTTCCTCGTTGGACATGGCTCTTGTAAGTTTTGCCTCTGCTATGCTATGCTTCGTGATAAAATCAGAGGTTTTCGGTCCTTTTGCATCATTCTTCCTCTTGTTGAAGGAAATGTCTTCATCATGGTTCAGTCCAAGGCGGGAATAAACAACATGGCGACTGCTTTAGAAAGAAGGTTGCAGTTTATTGAAGAGGCGAGCCAGACAGAAAGTTAGCTCTGGCAGAAAAGAGAGAGTGAGCACATGTAGGGAGTGGGTTTTTATACCTTCTTGAGCCTTTTGTTTGGAGTTGTGCCTGTGGCATGAACTTTGACCTGAGTCTGAACTTTGACCTGAGTCTGAGTGTGCCTTTCTGATATTCTGATGGTGATGGGTTAATCCTATTATGTCCCAAAGGTCAATCCTGCTTCCCTGGGACTGTGGCTGATGACATTTAGATTTTTGGTGTGAGGGATTGTTGCTTCTAGGGATCTTTTTTCCTAATCCCAGTTTCCTGACTCCAGTCTTTCTGACAAGATTATCACGTCTGCATTTCTGCAGATTTGGTTTCTGTTTGGGACAGAGAGACTTGGAGGTGGGGTTGGTTTCTGCTTTTAAAATCCCTTAGGGAAATATATTCTGTCTTTTAAATATTTCCAAAAATATTTCTTTTTCTGGGGGGGGGGCTGACTTCCCACACTCTGCAGACCGACCTTTACCTCCTGAGGGTCTTTGCTTATCTCTACTTGTGTTTAAATGGCACGTGAGCCGGTTCCTCGCCCAGGTGGCTTTCCTGGTTGCCTCAAGTTATGTCCAGTTGTGGCAAAGAAAAAAGACTTGCAGCACAACAGGGCTGATTACACAAAGCCTGCCCAGGACATGGCCATTAGGGCAGGCTAAAAACTCTCGATTGCCTTCCCAAATTGGCCTCTGCAAATCAGACATAGCAAACCTGTCAATGCGGCTGCTTGTACTAATACATTTTCTAAACAGAAAAACATTAGCCCCGTGTGGCCGGGTGTGTAAAACTGATGGCCCTTATTAAATTACACGTCTCTCCAACAAAAGCGGGGGAAAAAATGGCCGATGTGAGTCATCAATCCTAGCTGGCAGCTTGATTGTTGCTTAGACATTTTAAGTTCTCCGATATTTTGCCTAATTTCTTTTAGGACGCTCGTATATCCATTTTTATTTTTAATTGGCCAGTAGGATCCTGCAGCCCATGGCGTATTTAGAATAAGAATGGAATAATAACAGAGTTGAAAGGAACCTTGTAGGACATCTAGTCCAGCCCCTTGCTCAAGCAGGAGACCCTACTGTTGAAGGGAAAGTCTTCATCCTGGTTCATCCAAGCCGGGGATAAACAACATGGTGACTGCTTTAGAAAGAAGGTTGCAGTTTATTGAAGAGCCAGATAGAAAGATGGTTCTGGTAGGAAAGAGGAGAGAAAAAAGGGCTGAGCACATGTGGGGAGTGGGTTTTTATACCCTCTGGAGCCTTTTGTTTGGAGTAGTTTCCTGTTCCTGTTTTAGGCTTTGTATTTCCTGTGTCACGTATTCTGACCTGTGTCCCTTTGGCATCTGTGAGTTAATCCTATTATGTCCCAAAGGTCATATCCTGCTTCCCTGGTGCTGGGGCTAATGACTCTTAGAGTTTGGGTGGTGTATGCAGATTTTCGGTGTCTTTGTCTTCCTAAACTTCTAGCTCCAAATTCCTGATGGTTTACATCTGTATTTGTACAGAGCTGGCTTCTGCTTGGGGGAGGGAGACCTGGGGCTATTAAGAAAAACTGGGCATGCTTTTCTGTCTCTTTAAGATCCTTTGAGAAAATATATTTTTCTGCCCTTTTAATATTTCCTTCTATGGGGGGGGGGGCTGACTTCCCACACTACCATTCCAGACAAGTGGCTGTCCAGTCTCTTCTTGAAAGCCTCCAGTGTCGGAGCACCCACAACTTCTGGAGGCAAGCTGTTCCATCGTTCTAACTGTCAGGAAGTTTCTCCTTAATTCCAGGTTGCTTCTCTTCTTGATCAGTTTCCATCCATTGCTCCTTGTCTGGCCCTCAGGTGCTTTGGAGAATAGGTTGACCCCCCCCTTCTCTGTGACAGTCCCTCAAATATTGGAACACGGCTATCATGTCACCGAACGTTTATTTAAAGCTAGGGAAAAGTACGAGGAGTTAGAAAAAGCAGAAGTCCTCTGCAAATAGTCTTTTAGGACTAGTCCTGGGGATCAGAGAGCTCACAGCAGGATATGGTAAAGAAAATAAATAAATCAAGATGGCCGCTGGGACGGTGCAATCAAAGGCCCAGCTGGGTTTTAGGTGAGACAATGAGCCTGGAAGCCCCAGGAGAGCTTTGATTGCACCATCATCTTGACGTGTTTTGTTTTTTTTAACCATATTCAGCAGACACGTCTGACTTACCAGGATCCCCACTGTCTTGCTTGCTGGTGGGCCAGTTGAATGGAATGGAATATTTTATCTGGCCAAGTGTGATTAGATGCACAAGGAATTTGTCTCCGGTGCAGAAGCTCTCAGTGTACACGCAGAGCAACAGAATGATGATGATCATCATCATCACCATCATCACCATCATCATATCAATAAGGGGGGGGAGTAAAGAAGATAGTAAGAAGGATAAATGATAATACTTCAGCCATACTACAGGGGTAAATGCACAGAGACATTAGACAGCACTGTGAGAATTAGGTGTTCAGCAGAGGGGACACGAATTTCAGTTGCCTGCTTTTTCTGGTCCTGGGCTATTAGCAATAGCATCAGCACTTAGACTTATGTACCGCTTCACAGTGCTTTAAAGCCCCTCTCTAAGCGGTTTACAGAGTCAGTCAGTTGCCCCCAACAATCTGGGTCCTTGTTTTACTGACCTCAGAAGGGTGGAAGGCTGAGTCGACCTTGAAACTGTCAGGATCGAACTGCTAGCAGGGAGCAATAAATTAGCCTGCGATACTGCACTTTAATCACTGCCACCAGGGCTCTATGTCTGTCTATCTCCATCCATCCATCCATCCATCCATCCACCCACCCACCCACCCACCCACCCATTCATCCATCCACAGCAATAGCCCTTAGACCAATGGTGGCGAACCTATGGCACGCGTGCCACAGGTGGCACTCAGAGCCCTCTCTGTGGGCACGCGCACTGTCACCCCAGTCCTAGGCCTTCAGCTGGGTTTTATAAAACCTTTTCGCTTTAAGCCTCTGCCGCCATGTGCAAAAAGAAATATTCAATCAATCAGTCAATTTCAACTTCTCACGGGGGAAAAAAAGATCTTGCAAAGTTGGAATTGATTGATTGAACTTTTTAGTCCCATCCAGTCTGCTGTTACCACCACAGCTATGCCTACCCAATGGGCCACACTCACCTGGCACCCGAGGATGCATAAGTAGGTTTTGGGTTGCAGTTTGGGCACTCGGTCTCTAAAAGGTTCGCCATCACTGCCTTAGACTTATATACCGTTTCACAGTGCTTTACAGCTCCTCTCTAAGGGGTTTACAGAGTCAGCCTCTTGCCCCTCCAACAATCTGGGTGCTCATTTTTACTGACCTCGGAAGGAGGGAAGGCTGAGTCGACCTTGAGCAAGTCAGGATCGAACTCCTGGCAGTGGGCAAGTGAGTTAGCCTGCAATTCTATATTTTAGCCACTGCGCCACCAGGGCTCCTATTGGGATTTATTCCCTGCCTGATTATGGAGAAATCCACCAATCTGCCGGTTCAGTTGTGGTACCCAAGGAGGAGGGATAACTCCAAGGGGCTTCAGCATCCCAGAGCCAGATAGAGGGACACTCTGACTCATCCTGGCACTGAACATCCCCTCCCATGTTCCTTTCTTTGCAGTCAGCATGCGAAGGAAGACTATCTTCTCCTGGTGGTCCTGATGGGGGCCGTGGTGGTCAGAGATGCATCCTGCAGAGAACTGCCCCAATCCAAGCAGATTTGGAAAGCTATTCATTTTTCTCTGGAGTGGCTTACCCTGTCAGTGTTGGTGGGAGCGTTTTTGGCTGTGATTAGGCTGTGGTTTTCTATTGGTTTACAGTTGGTCTACGTACGGTCTCAGACAAACAACCAAACAGTAATCAACAGCTGAATCAAGGAATACCAAGTCCTTTCCCACCAACACTGGCAGGGCAAATAAGTAGTATATGAACAGGGAGTAAACCACCCTCCCTTCCAGCACTGATGATGTTATCTAGCTGGGTAATGAAATGTCTGCAAGAAAGCCTCCAAGCTCAGAGAGCACCAAGGATCCCTCAATCCTCCTCCTCCTCCTCACAAACCCCCCTCCCTTCCAGCACTGATGAGGTTCCCTGGTTGGGTCAGGAAACATCTCCAAGAAAACCACCAAGCTCAGAGAGCATCAAGGATCCTCCTCCTCCTCCTCCTCCTCTTCCTCTTCCTCTTCCTCTTCCTCTTCCTCTTCCTCTTCCTCTTCCTCTTCCTCTTCTTCTTCTTCTTCTTCTCCTTCTCCTTCTCCTTCTCCTTCTCCTTCTCCTTCTCCTTCTCCTTCTCCTTCTCCTTCTCCTTCTCCTTCTCCTTCTCCTTCTCCTTCTCCTTCTCCTTCTCCTTCTCCTTCTCCTTCTCCTTCTCCTTCTCCTTCTCCTTCTCCTTCTTCTTCTTCTTCTTCTTCTTCTTCTTCTT